GCCCCCGGAGTAGCTGGACTACAGGCATGCGCCACCACGCCCCGGCTAATTTTTTCCATATATATTTTCAGTTGGCCAATTAATTTCTTTCTATTTTTTAGTAGAGACGGGTCTGCTCTTGCTCAGGCTGGTCTCGAACTCCTGACCTCAGCAATCTCCCGCCTCGGCCTCCCAGAGTGCAGGATGACAGCGGAGCCACCCGCGCCCGGCCTTAAAAATATAAATCTTGATCCTCCTGCCTTGGCCTCCCAGAGTGCTAGGATGACAGGCGTGAGCCACCGCGCCCGGCTAATTTTTTGTATTCATTTCTTTAGTGAAGCTGATTACACCCATCTCTGACTCTCATGTATCCTGCAAACATGTGCCTCAGGTTGCCCCAGACTGTTCTTAAAGGTTGAATGGTGGCCGGGCGCGGTGGCTCACGCCTGTAATCCTAGCACTCTAGGAAGCCGGAGGTGGGCGGATTGCTGAAGGTCAGAAGTTCGAGACCAGCCTGAGCAAGAGCGAGACCCCCATCTCTACTATAAATAGAAAGAAATTAATTGGCCAACTAAAAAAATATACAGAAAAAATTAGCCGGGCGTAGTGGCGCATGGTGGCATAGTGGTCCCAGCTACTCGGGAGGCTGAGGCAGGAGGATCGCTTGATCCCAGGAGTTGGAGGCTGCTGTGAGTGAGGCTGACGCCACGGCACTCACTCTAGCCTCGGCAACAGAGTGAGACTCTGTCTCAGAAAAAAAAAAGGTTGAATGGTGGTGGTTAATCTCGAAGATCATTTTCCCCAAGGCTATAGCACTAGTGTTTGACTTCTCAGACACGCTCTTTAACTCTCTCTCCCTGGCGTGGCCGAGCGGGGGTGTCTTAAACTTAGTTAAAAAGGGCAGTGATGGTCTCTTGAGCTGCCCCCACCTGGGGTCTTCGCGGGGTGGAATTTGGGTCCTCCCATTTCGGACAGAGAATGAATTTGAATTCAGCAGTAGTAGGAAGAGAAATTTCCAGCCTCTGACTTGTGTTTTCTAGAGGAAACTTAGTTGCTGCGTTTCCCCGAAAATAAGCCCTACCTGTGAAATAAGCCCCAGCAGGATGTCCAAGCACGTGCGCAATAGAAGCCCCACCCCGAAAATCAGCCCTGGTGATGGGTGTGGCTATGAAAATCAGCCCTTGTGGTGGGCGTGGCTATGGAAACAGCCCTTGTGGTGGGCGTGGTATCGGAAATCAGCCTCAGTGAGGCGGTGCTATGAAAATCACCCTAGTGATGGGGCGTGGCTAATGAAATTCAGGCCTAGTGAATGGGCGTGGCTCATGAAAATCAGCCCTATGGTGGGCATGGCTAGAAAAATCAGGCCGCTAGTGGTGTTGGCATGGCTATGAAAAAACTCAGCCCTCTAGTGGTCGGGCGGTTTATGAAAATCACAGCCCAAGTGGTGGCGTGGTCTATGAAACCATCCCAAGCTGTGGGACGTGGCTGGAAAATCACCCTGGTCGACTGGGGCGTGGTTCTCCATGAAAATACAGCCCTAGTTGGTGGGCATGCTATGAAAATCAGTCCTAGTGGGGGGCGCCTGGCCATGAATCCAGCTTAGTGGGTGGGCATGGCATGAAATCTCAGCCGTAGTGATAGGGCGTGCTAGAAAGAAAATCTGCCCTAGTTAGGTGGGCATGGCTTATGAAATCAGCCCTAGTGGTGGGCGTGGTTAGTGAACCATCCTTAAGTGGTGGGCGTGGCTATGAAAATCAGCGCTGGTGATGGCGTGGCCTGAAAAATCAGCCGCCTAGTGGGTGGCATGGCTATGAAAATCAGTCCTAGTGTGGTGCGGTGGCCATGAAATCAGCCTAGTGGTGGCATGGCTATGAAATTTCAGCCGCGTAGTGATGGCGTGGCTATGAACATCACCAGTGGCTTGGCATGGCTATGAAATCCAGCCCTAGTGGGTGCGTGGTTATGAAAACAATCCTGGAGTGGTGGGCGTGCTCATGAAAAATCACCTCTGGTGATGGCGTGGCCATGAAAATCAGGCCCTAGTGGTGGCCATGGCTATGAACAATCAGTCCTAGCTGCGTGGGCGTGGCATGGAAAAGCAGCCTAGTGGTTGGGCAATGGCTTATGAAAATCCAGCCCTGAGTGGTGGCGTGGCAGAAAATCAGCCCTAGTGGTGGGCGTGGGCTATGAAAATCTAGCCTAGTGACGGGCGTGGCTTTGCGCAGCGCATCTTGCACAACCCGTTCGTGTCGATCGCGGCGAGCGGGAAGAACACGAGCCCAGCCCTTCTCATCTCCGCCCCCGTGAGAGCTCTAGTGCTCGACAGGGAGATACGGGGCCGTGGCGTAAAGTGAAGACAGAGTCGCAAGACATTACAGGATGGGATTCGGGGTCTGGAGAGTGAGGATGATGTTCCAGAAGAAGACGACCTCACTGTATTTCAATCAATGCAGATGGTTGTACTGTACTTAAAAAAAAAATAACACATGCCCTGAAAATCAGCCCTAGGGTGTCTTCTTGAGGAAAACTAAATATGAGACGCTGTCTTATTTTCGTGGAAGCACGGTATATTAGCCAAGAAACCAAGATTATTTTCATAATTAGCCCTTTTAGAGTTTAGACCGATTGTTCCCGAGTGGGGACACTTTTGCCACATTTGCTTTGGCAAATGTCGGGGGTGCAGTTTTGGTTGTCATGAGTGAGGTGGCTGGAGGGTGTTACTGGCATCTGGCGGTGGGTAGAGACCAGAGATGCCGCAGAACATCCTCTGACGACCAGCACGGCCCCCCGTCACTGCCTTGAAACAAAGAATTATCTGGCCCGGGAGGTTCGTGGGGCTGCACACTGGAAAATTCTGGTTCAGCCAAACCGAGTAGTTGACAGGCAACAGATAGGCGCTAAACAGAGAGAAAGGCGTGTTTGACTGTTATTTCGGAGTATTTGATCTCTCTCCCTTCCCGTCTCCCGTAATGCCGTACGTGTGCGGCATTTTCAACGTCCTGCTTCCAAAGCCGTGTTTTGGGAGAAGGATTGCAGTTTTGCATGATGTCATTTGTTTTTGCATCTATTCGATGCATGTTTATCGGATACCTTCACGCTAGGCGTTGGGCTGGTCAAGGGGACTGTTGAAACGACTGAGTCGCGTTGGGTCTGAGCAGGGACATCGAGGCCTCTCTCGTGACTTGCAGCTCTCGAGCAAAGACGATGAAAAGCCACTGCACACATTGCTCATTCCGAAACAAAACAAAACCCTGGGTGAGGTGGTGAATGTTTTTAGGATGTTTATTTGAGGAGAGAGTAGGAGGAAGGTTATATATATGTCTTCCAGCAATACCACAGTCTTTTTTGTTGTTGTTGTTATAGACTTCTTTTATTTTTTGACCCTATTCAACCAAAACAAAATTATAAGTATAAATATATAGATATACACACATATATGCATGTACATACTTGTATATGCTATGCATATATAATACACATATATAGTATATATTAATATATATACACACAGGTATGTTTATTGTAGCAGAGTTTTTTTTTTATTTCAGCATATTATGGGGGTACAAATGTTAAGGTTATATATATTATTATTTTTTTTTTTTGAGACAGAGTCTCACTCTGTTGCCCAGGCTAGAGTGCCGTGGCGTCAGCCTAGCTCACAGCAACCTGAAACTCCTGGGCTCAAGCGATCCTCCTGCCTCGGCCTCCCAGAGTGCTGGGATGACAGGCGTGAGCCACCCCGCCTGGCCTGCAGCATAGTTCTGAATAGCAAACAAAAGAAAGCAAACAACCAGAAGCAATAACATATCCAAGGTTTGGTCATCCTTGGCCATTAACCTACTTGTGCTTCAGTTGCCCTGTTTGTAAAATGGAACTATACACAAACACAACGAGTGAGACGTGCACCGTCTGGGGGATGGACACTCTTGAAGCTCAGACTCGAGGGGGGAGGGGGGGCAAGGGCAATATACGTGACCTTGACATTTGTACCCCCTATCATATGCTGAAATAAAAAAAAAAGAAAAAGAAAAAAAAAAAAACAGATATAAGTGGGAGTCCTTACCTCACTGAATATTTGTTGGTCCGTAATAAATATTCCAGAAGCTTGGGCAGGGGGGCCCAGGGGAACAGCGAAGAGCAGACACGTCCTAAAATCCAGAGGGGTCACCGGAGGTCGTGCCCACCTCGGATTGGAAACGAACAAGGCAAGGCCCACGTTCCTGGATGCTGACAGTTCTAACGTGCTCTTCCCTCTCCTATTTCTGCAGAACCCCATTTTCAGCACGCTGGCCGGTGAGAAGTCCTTACCCGACTGCAAAAAGGTAAGCCAGCCCCCCCCATCCCTCGAACCCCAGCCTGTTGTCAAAGCAGCAGAGGCTGCAGGGCGGGTGACAGTTCCGTGGAAAAGCTCCGATGTCCACGAGAAGGTTCTAGTGGCATTACCATGGCCCCTTTTTCTTCCGGGGATGGAAACACATGCACGGCTCGCTTTAAGCGTTGGAAACTCCGCTGTCACATTGGCAGCGCGGCTTGTTCTGGAGAAGCTCGGCTTTGGGTGAGGTTTTTGGGCGGCGGCGGTGAAAAGAAAAGACAGACAGACAGAGAGAATGAGCAGGGGGCGCCAAACCGCGTGGCTTTATCAAGCGCTCCCGGGCGAGGTTCGTGGGTCCCGAGAGAGGGGGAGGGGACCCAGAAGTCGCCCCCGTTTGAAGGGGCTGCGGGCTTCTATACCGTTTGGGCCGGGCTGGGGACTTTTGGCGGGAACAGCCGGGGCGACCTTGGGTGATCATTGAGAAACAGGAGGGTCTGGCGGTATTTGCAGAATCTAGGAGCTGAAATGTTCTTATCCGGGTGGACATCCGGGTGTTGTTTCTTCTCAGCAGGGCCCTGCAGTTTTGTCCTTGGCGGGTCTGGTCTCCTGAGCCTTTTCTGTTTTGATCTAGAGAGGGGAAAGGGGGTCCCACCACCAGTTTGGTCCCGTCTGTTTCTACCTCACTGTCACCTGACACTTCATTCTGCAAGAGGAGCATTGGGAGTTCAGGGCAGGCTGCGTACACGGCGTTGCAGGCCTCGTCTGCAGGTCCAAACCTCATGCACTCAAACCCAATGCGGCATAAACACGGTTTTGTGTTTGTTTTGTTTTTGAGACAGAGTCTCACTCCATTGTCCAGGCTAGAGTGAGTGCCGTGGCATGAGCCTCACTCACAGCAACCTCAAACTCGTGGGCTCAAGCGATCCTCCTGCCTCAGCCTCCTCCCGAGTAGGTGGGACTACAGGCATGCGCCACCACGCCCGGCTAATTTTTCTCTCTCTATATATTAATTGGCCAATTAATTTCTTTCTATTTTTAGTAGAGACGGGGTCTGGCTCTTGCTCAGGCTGGTTTCGAACTCCTGACCTTGAGCCGTCCTCCCGCCTCGGCCTCCCAGAGTGCTGGGATGACAGGCGTGAGCCACCACGCCGGGCCCTGGTTTTGGTTTTTATCGTTGCCTTTTCCCATCCTCCTCCCCTCTCAGGGGCAGTGTGTTTCAGTGGTTAAGGGCACAGGCTCTGGGGCTTGGTGTCTGTGGTTGTAGACCCAGCCCGGCCACCCTGTGCGCTGTGCAGCTCTGCCCAAGTTACTCAGCCTCTCTGTGCCTCCCTGGTTTCTTCTGTGTAATGAGACAAATCTCAAACTATACGATTGTTACAAGGATCGAACATGTGGACCCACGTGAAACTCTGGGGATGGTTTCTCAGGAGGCGTTGGTCATTATTATTTCACTCCCGTGCTTGCCAGAGAATGACTTGTGTCTGGTGTCATCTTTTTTGCTTTATAAGAGCGACAATATCAAGGAAAGGAGAGCAATGGGCTTGGGCCAGCTTTGGCATCTGGATAAAAGATAAACTAGTTGCACTAGAGAAATACCCTCATACGGTTCTCTAATTCTTAAGAGAATTCTCAATAATTAGAACACACTCAAATTCAGTGGTTGTTATAGATTCCAGTTCTGCAGAAGCAAAGCATTTTCCTAAAAAAAGCGAGCATGAAGCCTTCCCAATCGTACCGTGCAAAGAACACGCTTTCTGTGTCTCTGGTACCTCATGCAATTTCGAGCACGTAGTAGGCATTTAATAATGCCTGTGAATCCAGCTTGGCGTGGTATTGGTGCTCCAAAAAGCCTCCAGAATTGGGGAAAAAAAAAAAAAGGGAAAGAGTGTCTCTTCTTTGTATATCTTCTTATGCCAGCACCTAGAACATTCACGGGCAGGAAAAAATAACTTAGAACCTGCTTAGATTGTCAGAGAATGTCTTATGTGTCAATCAAATATATATATATATTAGTTGGCATTAATTCTTTCTATTTTTGTATGTAGAACAGGGTTCGTCAGGTAGGTTTT